TGGGTAGGTGCGTGGGTGGGCAAAACTTGAAAAAAAACCCCCATCGTCACAATCCCAGAAAAATTTGGAAAATCATTTGCGCATGCGCAGTCCGCATGCGCAAAGGATCATTTGCGCATGCGCAGTCCGACCAAAACAAACAGTGCGAATGCGTGGTTAAAAAAAACCCCTTACCAGCCTCCCTCGAAAAATTTCAAGCCCGGTTTCAAGAAGATCGGTCCACAAATGCAGGAGGAGTTCCCGGTGAAACAAACAAAAACACTTCGAATGCGTGGGTGGGTGCGTGGGTGGGCAAAACTCGAAAAAAACCCCATAGTAACAATCCCCGAAAAATTTGGAAAATTTTGAGACCAGTTGCAGGAAGATCGGTCCACAAATGCAGGAGGAGTTCGCGGTCAGACAGACAGACAGACACCCGGTGCTTATATATATATATAGATTATATAAAATTATACACTACTAAAAGAAAATAGGTAACACTTTACATACCCTAAAAATTGGGCTATTTTCAAAGCACTGAAACTCGGCGAAAAATTATCGTAGACTCAAAATGAAAAAAGCGTTTTAAAGCTTGAAGTTTCAACTTTATAACCCTGTCAACGATTTATTTAAATATGTTCATTTTTCTCGTTTTGTGCTTTAAAAAAGAATACGTTGTTTTGTTCCTTAAAGTTACGTATATTTGACACACTGCAGCTCGATAAAAAAATTTCTCTCGACAAATTCGATACAAGTTTCACAATCTACAACATTTTACCTACAAAATGCCTTTTTTTAAAATTTTCCTACGATTTTTTTTGACAGAGTTACATGACTTTGAAGCGAACCATGTATTTTCTTGAAAAATGATGTTTACCGCCGGCATTAGCGTTACCCAATATGCACTACGTGGAGGTTACCGGTCGGATTTTGCACATCGTGTGTGTATGTGTGTGTGTGTGGGGGGGGGGGAGGCTTTAGTATTGTGTATCACCTCCTCTCTGATAAATTACCGCTTGTAAATGCTTGCACACGCACACGCACGCACACGCACACAATGTGCAAAATCCGACCGGCAACCTCCTCATAGTGCACATTAATGGGTAACGCTCGCTAATACCGGTGGTAAACATCATTTTTCAAGAAAATACATGGTTCGCTTCAAAGTCATGTAACTCTGTCAAAAAAAAATCGTAGGAAAATTAAAAAAAGCATTTTGTAGGTAAAACATTGTAGATTGTGGAACTTGTATCAAATTTGTCGAGAGAAATTTATCGAGTTGCAGTGTGTCAAATATACGTAATTTTAATGAACAAAACAAGGTATTCTTTTTGAAGCACAGAACGAAGAACATATTAAAATAAATCGTTGACAGGGTTTTAAAGTTGAAACTTCAAGCTTTAAAACGCTTTTTTCATTTTGAGTCTACGATGATTTTTCGCCGAGTTTCAGTGGTTTGAAAATAGCCCAATTTTTAGGGTATGAAAAGTGTTCCCTTTTTTTTAAATAGTGTATATCAAACATGTCCATACATGTTTTTACACGTATTTCTAAAGAAGTCTTTATATAATTCTATATAATTCTATGTAATTCTATATATTTCTATAAATTTAAAAATAACGCCTCACAGTGGTCGAATTGGGGCGACGCCCGCCTAGAGAGTAGGGAAAAGTCCAGGTTCCCAGATAGCACACTGAATTCACAAAGTATTCTTTAAGTTTATTTCTTTTTCTGAATTGTAATTCTTTAGGAATTCATAGAAGAATACAATAAGAGTGACAGAGGAAGTTACATGCACCATAAATCGTTTTCCTGACAACTTCTTAAAGTATTCATCTCGAATTCAATAAATGTAAACTTTATGAATTCAAGGGGAATAGTGTTAGAACAAAGAGGATTACAAAATATTTACCCAATGTATGTACACATCT